GTCCCTCAGCTCTTCAGCACAAGGCTAGCACTCTACCACTTGAGCCACAGCACCACTTCCGGCTTTTTCTGTTTATGTGGTGCTGGGGAATCGAACCCAGAGCCTCAGGCATGTGAGGCAAGCACTCTACCACTGAGCCACCTTCCCAACCCCAGCACCTGGCACTCTTGAAGTGTCTTAAAGAGAAACCTAGGAGTGAGGGAAGCAGGGTCAAGCAGCATTGGAGCTAAGACTGGCATGGGTCCCTCCAGAGGCCAGCCACCTGCCAAGAGGGCCCTGAGTGGCAGAGAGTAGCACAAGGTTGTCCAGCTGTGGGGCATTATAACTGTGCCAGTTGGTCAGCGGTAGAGAGCCACCCCTGGGAGGAGGGGTGAGCTCACAGGCATTCCCTATAAAAGCTAGTCTCAGGATACAGAGGCAGCTAAGAAATGAGCAGCGTCCACCACAGCAGCCCCATGTTGGAACTGAAGCGTGCCCCACCCATGCCAAGCTGGGCAAGGAGCTGCCCATGCAGGACGCACCTGGCACTAGGCATAGTCATGCAATGGAGACGGCAAGCTCTGGACCGCTGGCACCATTGCTGCAAGGAATCTCAGGTGTTTCCAAATTCCCACTGGAGGCCTCCCCCTGGAGTCCAACCCTTAGAAATTGGAAGGCTCAACTTCCTGTGAGGAAAGCAGATGCCAAGTCTCAAAAAGCCCCAGGATGTGGGGAAGGCCCTAGAACTCTTGCCACAGGCAGTAGAATCCCTTTGCACTTAGCAACTTGGTTCCTCCAAATGCTGATGCCCTCACCACCCCATAGTCAGAGAGTCTGACACCAGACAGAAACTACAGTTTAAGTATCTTTCATCTTACTTGCTGTCTGAGAAGTCTCAGAGGAGAGGGGGAAAAAGCAGAACAGAAATCCCCAGCCTGTGATGGGAAAGTCCAAAGTGAGGCAGATGGAGAGCCCCTTTGGTGGCTGTTTTGTTGTTGTTGCTGTTGCAGGGCTTGAACTCAGGCCCTGGACGCTGTCCCTGGGCTCTTTTGCTCAAAGCTAGCACTCTACCACTTTGAGCTACTGTGCCACTTCTGGTTTTCTGGTGGTTAATTGGAGATGAATCTCCTGAATTTTCCTTCCCAGATTGGCTTTGAGCCCCATTCCTCAGATCTCAGCCTCCTGAGTAGCTCAGATTATAGGCCTGAGCCACCAGTGGCCTGGCCATGCTTTTGTTCCTCGTTTCTTGAACTGTTTTCCCAGTTGAGTAACAGAAATGAATCCCATCTTCACCCCACCTCCACCTCAGCTTTGACCAGTGGGGGAAGGACAATAATTAATGTTCAGGACCAGGGTAGCCCTAGTCTTAGAGAATATACACCTAGGAGAAGGGACAGATGGACTTAGGGCACAGATGGCCTTCCTTGGGGAATTTCCAGGATGCTCAGGCCCTTGGAAAGGCCTGGCTTAAACCAAGAATGGGGATAGGAGGAGGAAGCAGCTGACCTTAAGACATGTGACCTTTCCCTTCCACAATTGGGGCAGAGAAGTGGGTGGGAAAGAGTTTGTTTCAAACATCCAGATGTCCAGGCTATAAGTGCCTTTTTCCCCAGATCACGTCAGGGTCCAGCCAGTGCTGAGAAACACCATGAAGTCTGAGGGACAGATCTAGACACTACCAGGTGACTCTATAAAATGTACTTCAAGGTAATCATTGAAGAAAGGAAAGAATAGAGTCATCTAAAAGCCAACTGAGTTGCATATTCAGCACCCACTCCCATTATTAATATTTCCAAGGAGTGTTGCCAAGGATCAGCAGGTACAGGCAGTGAGTGCAAAGAGCCTGTTTGCAAACGAAGGTACCAAGTCACAAATGTCAGGAAGTCAGCTGGGGCTCTAGATACACAGGAAATGTTTGCTGGAACCCACAGCTTCCCCTTTTGGGGCCTGTCCCTAACTCTTCTCTGAGCCTTACCCTCCTTTGGGGAACAATCTAGATCTCCTGGGTTGGAAGACAAAGTTAGATGACTAGTGGTTCATACTCCAGTGTAAAGGACTGAGTTGGTCAGGTGTGGTAAGGGACTCACTTTGCAACCGAGTAGTGATAGAGGAGACAGGGCACTTCTTTCAGCCTCCTCAGATCAGCAGGAAGTGCCCCCGGGCAAACAGGAAACCCCAGCCCCATTGCAACACAAGGAAGGAGACTTGAGCAGTGGACTGGGGGCTCTGCCAAGATGGAGAGATAGCAAGAGATTCCACAGAGTAGTTCACCAACTTGAGCCTGCTCCAGGCATGGTGCCCAATACTCTGCCTTCCACCTGCCTGTGTCTGTCAAGAGAAGGCCTCAGATCTGCTCACCCAGGAGCCTTCCAGACATAAACTCCTCCATCCCCTTTCCAGGCCCCCAGGCCCCCCTCACACCCCTCCTCCTCCCTACACACACCCCCACTTCCTCCTCTGCCCACCTCCCCTCTGCTTTGGCTGTCCCAGCACTACTGCTAGGGAAGACTCCAGTTCTACTTATACCATAAGGAGCCTAGAAGTCAAGTACAAGGTTTAGTAAGCTCACCAAAGCTTCAGACTATGAACAAAAGCCTTTGCCCCCCCTCCCCCACCTCACCCCCAAAGAATTTTAAGCATTGGTTGGAGAAGAGGTTGCCTGGTCTTGCCCCAGAAGCAAGAGCACTAAGGAAACTGATTGAAAAGGGCTCAGCCCAGAAGTACCAATAGTTTCAGAGGTTCTCAAAATCTAGTTTCTCCACAAACAGGGAACAGAAAAATTAGAGAGCCTCTGATAATGTGCTAATGGTAAGACATTAGCTGTGTATGTGACCAACAGACAGGCCCACACACCACAGCTTACCAGCTTACTGTGAGTTCTCAAAGACCTGCTACATACCATTTAACCCTCACAACAACCCCACTGAAAAAGAAACATACTAGCTACTCAGGAGGCTGCGGATCTGAGGACCATGGGTTGAAGCCAGCCTAGTCAGGAAAGTCCATGAAATTCTTATCCCCAATAAACTATCCCCTAGAAAAGCCCCACAATGGAGCTCTGGCTCAAGTGGTAGAGCACTAGCATTGAGCAAAGGAATCTCAAGGACAGTGCCCAGGACAGGAGCGTGGGTGCACTCACGCATGCACACACACACACACACACACAAACACATACACACAGAAGAAGGAGGTGGAAGAGGAAGAGGAGGAGGAAGAAGAGGAGGAGGAGGAGGAGGAAACAACATAGGGTTTAGCTCAGTAGTAGAATACTTGTGCTGGTCCGGGGTTCCAACCCAGGTGACTGAAAGCAAAGCAAACCTAAGGGGAGGTAAGATGAAGGATAGGGTAAGGTAAAAACAATGTGGGGAGGGGAGAGAGACAAGATGAGGAGAAGGATGGGAAGGAGAGGGAAAGGGGGAAAGGAGAGGAGAAAAGAGGAGATAGGGGAGGGAGAGGAGAGAGAAGGGAGGAAGGAAAGGAAAGGACTGGTGAGAGGAAGAGAGATTATTATCCCTATTTTGCAGAAGAACAACTGGGGTTCAGAGAAGCCACAACCTTGGCCAAAAACCCAACCTGGGGCAGAGCTAAGGCTCACACTCAAGATAGCTCACAAAGCAGAAATCCTGCACACTACAGCTTCCCTTGGGGTGACAGACAGGGAGTTGCCATGTAAGATCAAAGGACCCAGCAGTCATCTAGAGGAGAGGGCCTCTAGGAGTGATGGCTTTCAGATTCCCTTGCAGAGCTGACAGTGCAAGATCCAGAAGCCTGCCCTTGGCTCTGATTCAGTGACAGGTGGAGTCAGGAACTGAGGCCATACCAGCTCTGGAGATGCTGGTTCTGCCATTCACAGGCGTCATCTTCATCCTTCCTGGAGCCCCAGGGAAGGCCTTAGTTTCATCATTTTACTGATGAGGAAACAGAAGTCCCAGAGGGTAGGTGACTTATTCCAAGTCGCACAGCTGGCACAAAGCTCAGTGCTCCTTTTACAGTGCCCAGCTGGGACTTGGCTCTAGCTACAGTTACCAGCCAAAGGGTCCAGAGTCCTGGGGCAGGAGGATAAGGGAGGGATGACATGACTGGCTCAATGGACAGACTATAGAAAAAGCAGATCCCACGGGCCGGGGACAGGTCCCTACTCAAGGGCCCGGATACTGGCAGTTACAGAGCTAGGCCCTTACCCACATAGTCCACTCCCCATCATAGGGCCCATAAACCACCCTCACCCCAGAAAAAGCCTCAGCTCTGGCAAAGGCCAGGCACAGGTCCTGTTCATCCACCTCACTTCTATGGGTCCTATTTCCTATTCCACACCAGTTGGCAAGTGCTGGGCAGGTGAGTGAGTGTGACCAGAGCCACCATAGGGCATCTAAACCAGATAGGTGCTAGATGGAAGTACTTCAGGCAGCCAAAGGCTTTTGAACTTTTGGAGAGGTGTTTAGAAGGAAACTTACATTGCTGTAGGGCCACTTGTGGACTAAAATTCTACCGTGAGGGAAATTCTATGTGACTGGTTTGGCCCCAGAGAAGCATGGGCCATGGGTGAAGACTACACTGACCCAGTAAAGCAAATACAAGGAAGAACTTCCTGACCTGCATTTCTCAAAATCAAGGATGATTTTATTAGGGCAGTTTTACCATCTGAGCTGGAAAGGGCAAATTAAGTTTCCTTCCAGTCTCATCATTGGAGACCTAAGTAGAGACCTGGAGCCAGTTTCTCACACCTGTAATCCAGGCCATTCAGGGGGCTGAGATCTGAAAACTGCAGTTTGAAGCCAACCTGGGCAGAAAAGTCCCCATATCTCCAGTTAACCATCAGAAAACCAGAAGTGGAGCTGTTCAAAGTGGTAGAGTGCTAGTCTTGAGCAAAAAGCTCAGGGATAGCACCCAGTCCCTGAGTTCAAGCCCCAAAAGCGACAAAAAAAAACACAATACAATAAAATGAAAAGTAAGTGGAGCCCTGATTCCCAGGAAGGTTGAGCCTTAATAGGGCCTAAGGCCTACATCCCTCAAGCTCTTACTTGTTCATCTGTGAATTGTGTCTCCCAGCTCTGCAGATATGCTGATTGATCCCAGCAGGTGAGAGGACTGGCCCTGTCCACTGTTTCCTCTGAGCATAGCTTTCTGTGAGGGCCCCACGTCCTGTTTACTGAGTGGTTGCCAAGTCACAGACCACTCTGAGACTCACCTCTGACCTCACATCCCTTTCCTGAGGGGAACCCCAGCACTTCTTCCTTTTTTGGTGCTATTGACTGAGACTGAGCTTTGCATACAGAGGTCTTGGGGTTTCCTCTGGTTGTTAACTGGGGTCAGGTTTGGAAATGAAAAGCAAGAATGACTGGCCTTGTTGGGTGCCAGTAGCTTACCCCTGTAATCCTAGCTACTCAGGAGGCTGAGAACTGTGAATCACAGTTTGAAGATAGCTGGAGCAGGAAAGTCTATGAGACTCTTATCTTCAATCAAAAAGCAGGAAGTGGGAGTGTGGCTCAGGCAGTACAATGCTAGTCTTGAACAGAAAAGGCTAAGGGGAAGTGCCCACTCCCTGAGTTCAAGTCTCAGTACTTGCACAAGTGCATGTACACACACACACACACACACATCACGCATGGGCACATTTCTTGGGAAATGTGGGGGAAAGGTCTGGCATACACTGTGTCCTCCCACTACAGGTCTTTTTCCCTACCTTCTTTAAACAGTATTAACATATCCAATGAGGTATGTGTTACATAGCTGATCTCAGCTGTGTCCTAGTACCAGAAACACCCAACACACTGGGTCAACACACGGGCCAAGGGGAAGTCTTACACAACATCATCTTCATACTATCCTCTACCTGCCTGAGACTAGCTGACTAACCCTACAGGAAAATCAAAACTATGAAAAACAGAACTTTAGCCAGGCACTGTGGCTCACGCCTGTAATCCTAACTACTAAGGAGGCTAAGATCTAAGGATCATGGTTCAGAGCCAGGCCAGGTAGGAAAGTTAGAAAGTCTGTGACACTCTCATCTCTAAGTATGGGGGGGGGGACCGGAAGTGGTGCTGTGGCTTAAAGTGGTAAAGCACTACCCTTGAGCAAAAGAGCTCAGGGACTGTGTCTAGGCCCTGAGTTCAAGCCCCATGACCAACAAAGAAGGAAGGGAAGAAGGAAGGAAGGAAGGAAGGAAGGAAGGAAGGAAGGGAGGGAGGGAGGGAGGGAAGGAAGATCTTTTCCTACAGGGTCTTCAAAGGCTATTTGTAAAGAATCTTCTTTATACTTTCCTAACTGCTTGAAATCAAAAGGGCAGCCTCCTACTGAACAGATGAAAAGATGGAGCCAGGTTAGAGACTTCTAACTTCTGGAGAGGCCTCCCAGCCCTACACCCAGGGATCAGCAGGCTGGAGGGTTGGCATGCCCAACCTGAACTCATTTAAAGAACTGAAAGGCTTAGAGAACAAGGCCAGAGAAAAGTTGCTTGACTCCTCCTGTGACCCTGGAATAAAGCCACAAGACCTGGTTTCCTAGTTCTGAGTCTCATGGCTTCCTGACCTCCTTTGACCTCCGATATGACCCAAAGTGCACACATATTGTACTGAATCCCATCCTGCTACACCAGAGCCCCAATTACCCCCTCCCACGCACAGTAGAGCAATCCTCACCTCAAACATCTGTGCTGTCCTACATGGAGCTTTGGGAAGAAGGTGTTATCTGAGACTTCTCATCTACTACTGTTCCCTAGAGTACCCTCAGGACTCTACTGACTAAAGGTATTACACGCTGTGCTATCACAAAGTATTTCAACAGCCATACCTGAGGCTACCATGATGGCTTCTCAGCAGGTCATGTTTAGCCACAGGGTTTAGGACACCCAAAAGATTCTTGAAGCCAGATGCTAGTGGCTCACATCCACAATCCTAGCTACTCAGAAGGCTGAGATCTGAGCATTGTAGTTTGAAGACAGACCAGGCAGGAAAGTCCACAAGACTCTTATCTCCAATTAACTACCAAAAAGCCAGAAATGGAGTGTAGTTCAAGTAATAGAGCCTTGAGTGCAAAAGCTCAGTGCTAAAGCCCTGAGTTCAAGCCCCGAGTTCAAGCCCCCGTACCAACACAAAGAGAAAAAAAATTATAGATATATAGATATATCTTGAAACAAAAATTGAGACTTGGAAGGGAAAGAGATATGAAGAAGTAATAGAAAGGGTGAATTTGTTCAAAGTGCATTGTACTTATGGATGGAAATGAAATCCTTGTCTGCAATTGGCAAAGACAAGTATATTATATACTAATATAAAAATAGGAAAACTTAAGACTTTCAGTGGTTAAGTATGCTGGTCTCTCAACAACTCTTTTTTTTTTTTTTGGGTAGGTCGTGGGGCCTGAATTCGGGGCCTGGGAGCTGTCCCTCAGCTGTTCAGCTCAAGGTGAGCACTCTACCACTTGAGTGTCAGCCCCACTTCCGGCTTTTTCTGCTTATGTGGTGCTGAGGAATTGAACCCAGGGCCTCTTGCATGGAAGTCAAGCACGCTACCACTGAGCCACCTTCCCAGCCCCTCAACAACTCTTTATGCCTGAATCTTCCTCATTCACTAAAGGACAGGTACTGTGTCAAGGCCACCATGTACTACCCTCCCAAACACAACAGCCACATAGATAACCCTGGCATCAGACTGTTTAGCAGCAGAGCACTAGGGTCTGAGCTCTAGCCGCCAGCATCCAGAAAGCCACACTTGAGCCCAGCTCTCAGGTCAGCAGGACTGCCCTCCTCAGCCCCAGCTACCTACCTCTGTCCTGCCAGGCTGAAATGGAACTGACACCTGCCCGAGGGCAGGAGATTAGCCAGGAACCCATGGTCCTGCCAAATGGTACCAGCGAGGCAAAACCACAACTCTCTCCCAGGAATTTCATTTCTATTACACACTGAAAAGATCAAGATCCACAAAAGGACAAATGCCATATGACCCCATTTCTATGGAGTGCTAAGGATCGGAAAATTTACTAAGATAGTAAGTAGAATCAAGGAAGGAGGGGATGAGGGGTTATCGTTTAATGGTATAGAGTTTTTGTTTGGGATGATTGAAAAGCTCTAGAAATGGAAATGTTGACATTCACAAACACAAGATGGTGAATGCAATTAATGCCACTAAATTATACACTTAAAATAGTTAAGAGGGCCAAATGCTGATAGCTTCTGCCTATAATCCTATCCACTTAGGAGGCTGAGATCTGAGGATTTTGGTATGAAGTCAGCCTGGGCAGGAAAGCCCATAAACATGAAACTCTTATTTCTAGCTAACCACCACAGAGCCAGAAGTGGAAGTGTGGCTCAGGTCGCAGAGCACTAGCCTTGAGCAGAAAAAGCTAAGAGGTAACACCCAGGCTCTGAGTTCAAGCCCCAGAATTGGTGTGGTGTGGGTGTGTGAACGCATATGCGTGCATATGCATGCACATACATATGCATACATGCATGTGTACGCATGTACACTCAAAGGTTAAAAGGGTAAATTTTATGATATACATTTTACTATAATAAAACAAAAAATATTGCCTATAAAAACAAATAGATGGAAATCAAGATCTTCCAAAATTCTACCACCCAATGCATCACCATTATTATACATCCATACATCTTCTAAAAACAAATCCCAAAGATGACAGATTTTACAAAATGACACACTGTTATTACCTCTTTTTAGAAAGTAGTTGTATGTCTCTATCTTTATCTCTATACATCTATAGCTTTGTTTGAAGCCATACAGTATCCTAATACACAGATAAACTATAATTGACCCATTTATAATGGTAGAGTATTTAGCTTTATTTTTAGTGTTATTGTTGGTTGTTATAAATAATGGTGCAAGGGATTTCCAATGCACTTGTCCAATTATAGCCTTAGTGGAATTGCTGAGTCAGGAACTCCCTGGGGGTGGGAGGTGATCATAGAGCAGGAAGAGAGTAACACCTCCAGGATGTTGAATTCTGTCTTATTATAAGTCTCTATAATATTATAATGTAATGCTATAATCCTTCCTTGGATTTCTATGATGTTGCATAGTATTTCATAAAGTTAGAGGCCATCGTTCCCATGAGAAACCAAAATCTTCCTAGCCCCCTCCCAGGGTTTCTGTGGGGGTTGGGGGGTGGCGATGTCACCTTGCCTGTGCCATGAAGGGAACCTGGTATACAGGGGTGGGTTACCATCTATTGAATTCCTTTGCCCAGAAGGAGAATCTAGGAGTGTCAAGTGCTGGGTGACTGATGGTCCATGCCACAAATATGGACACACAAAAGAATTTCATTCCTGACTGCATAAGAAAGAACATGCAATGGGTTCTTCCTAGGGGCTGGAATGGATGTATGGGACCATCCTAAGCCCTGACCTTAGCAATGGGGAAACTTAGGTCCAGGAAAAGCTCAGCATAAACATCTCAATAATCATTATACGAACCCCAGAACTGTCTCACACAGTGATTCAGGGCAGGGCTTAAATGCACCCCAGGTTACAATTCTTAGCCTCCCTTTCTTTGTGTATACAATTGAAAATTGAGGTCACTGGGGTCGCATTCCAGTTCAGTTACAGTCAGCTGTGTGCCGGAGCTGGCTCCGGCTGGCTCTCAAGGACTCATGCTTAACAACTCTTGCCAACTCAGAGCTTAATGATACCATCTTGGTAGTTAGACACAGTGATGATGGGAATATTTATACCACAGAAACTGGCAAATTCTCCAACCCGCCCCTCAGACAGTCAGTCAGTAGCTAAACCTTTACCAATGGACCACTGAATATAACATGGGTATGAACATCCTTGCCAGAGGACCACACTTTTCTCATTTCACCTAAGAACAACCTCTTTCTCCAAAGGACTGTAACTCTCCATGTAGGATTCTACAATCCTACACTCTCAAATCCATCCCCCTTCTGTATTAACTAGTGAGCCATTGAATGTTTTCCCGAATTCTAGAGTGCCAGGTCCCACCCTTGACTACAAGAAGATAGTTCCTCTGATCTTTATAGGATCACTGTGAGAAAGTTATTGTTGTCTATGGCCATACCACCCTGAATGCGCCCAGATCTCGTCTGATCTCGGAAGCTAAGCAGGGTTGGGCCTGGTTACTACCTGGAAAGGAGAAAGTTACTGTAACTTCC